TGTCCCAAAGAACGTGACCCTGAGGCAAAGAAAATACGAGTTGTTCCCATGAGGTTTTAGTGGAAGCTTTTGGAACATTTAATGCAGACGTGCAACCATTAACCCTTTGGCGACCGTCAGTCTGTAGCGGAAAAACGCATTTTTAACCAAATCCTCCGTTTTTGACCGGTTTTCCGCCAATTAGCAAGGAAATGACTAGAAATGAGTTTTGCAACACTAAAGGCGTATTATGCCCACCGTATCGTCTTTCTTTTCTTTGGAATTATGGCTGGCTAACTTTTCAGGAAAGAGGAAAATTTAATCTGGAAAGAGTACTACGCAAACAGCAATATACTTGAAATCTATACCTTGTATCTGGAACTAAAAAATGGAACAGAATTTTTTAATTCCATCTGCAATTTGTCCATCTCAGATTTCAACTTCTCCATGGCATACTTGAAGGAACCTGCCTCCCGAAGCTCATCTGTTACATAAGGAGGATCACAGGGAAAGTAACTGTTAAATGAAATGAACAATTATTGGATGAGGATGAGCAGGATATGAATGGTTATATTAAAATGAGTTATTGTTGCTGTTTTTTTTTTGTATAAAATAAACAATTATTTTTACATGAAAACCTTTACACTTGCCGTATTTTTGAAAAGTGCTTGGCAAAACTCTGAAATGCCCTATTTGACCAACCTTAGCTAGTTATAAAGAATTAACCGGCAGATTTAAGCCAATCAGAAAAGGAAAAATATTTTGAACAAATTATAATTGGCACTATTTTTAGGACTGTCCTTGCTCTTTTTGACGAATACAAGGCTAATACACCAATTTCGATATATTACTAAATTCATACTTAGCTGCGAGGCTTCGGGGAATAAAAAAAGAAAAGTATTATTCATCCCTGAACCTCCAGGCGATTTCTTTTGTTTTAACCCGTTAGACCTCGGAGCCGAGCGTGAATTTTAATGTATCGACATTGGTCTATATTCTGACACTGACTGCGTTTACTGATGTGTATAAAACAATTAACGGCGTTAAAAAGATAAATTTCTTTAATATCCTACATTCCAAAAACCTGTGTTACAAAAACCTGACAACGGTTTCGGCAAAAACTAGATAAATAAATAAAGTAACGATATAAATAAATTAAAAATAAAAATAAATAAATAGGAAGTAGGACTTGTTATAGCCCTATTTAGTTTGGGGAAAGCATCCTGACCACCTTAGATGTGACCCCCTGCCATAATACTTTGAACTGAGTACCTGTGACGGAATCCGATATGAGAATCGACAGCTTTCGTCAGCAATTCCCGAAAAACTTCTCCATTTTCTGCTTTGGGCCCCAAAAACCAAGCACCTAGGGATGCCCATTGTTTTTGGCTGCAGACCTCGTGATCTTCTCTTGTAAATACTTCTCTTTGCTGTGAGTACATTGGGGCTGTCGACAAGAGAGCTCGCTTTGTCTATGTGTTATAATCCTCTTCTCAAGCAGAACTTCTTCTGCTTCTCAAAATCCTTGTAACGGAAAATAAAAGAAGACTCATCTATATAAGTGTGAGTGAGCATGAGAAACAAGACGAATTGACAAATACCTAAACATATTGTACTTTTGGTTACACGCTGATAATAACACCAGTCTAGCAGGCGCAAAACTCTCAGTAATTATCAGCTAGAGCTTGCGTTTTTTAGTTTTTTGTTTGTTTGTTTGTTTGTTTTGCGTTTGTTTTCTCCTTATTTTTATACAGATTCTGGCACGATCACAGTATGCTATAAAAGTGCATCTTTCATTTCAATACACTTTGTTTAATTATGATCTAGTGAAAACAGCATTCCGATTCAACCAAGCGTGGAAACAAACGAGCTTTGTAATTGTTTTGTCGTTTCGTTCCGCCTTCCGACTCCGACAAACTGGTTTTCACTGGATCGTTAGCGACAGAGTCATAAGCGGAGTAGGAAGAAAATGGAAACATTCTGATTCTTCAGACACCGACTCCGTCGCGCTTATGACGCCGCTACCACTCTGATTTTTTTATTTTCATTAGGTCATAAGCGCTCTTACGAATCAGCTTACGACTCCTATTCTGACTCCGTCGCTAGTGAAAACCAGCCCTAGGGTGCGCTTCTTTACTGAAATCCGAGATCGGATCAAAAATCCGGATAATTAGAATTTTTTGTTTAGAAAAGAAACGATGTATCCAAAAAAGGATTGTTTTTCAGTCATTTTCATAGAAACGACCTGCAATATGGACGGTATCCTGGGGTGCTTACCATTTGACAGAGAAATCCGGTT